AAGGTGTGATAATGGAACATCATCAGTCATGGGCATTTTAGTTTCTTGTTGAATAACAAATCTGTAGATAAGACGTAAGATAAACACTCGATTCTCTGAATATTTCTTTACTAAAAAGTCTGAGAGTGTGTGTGTCTCCTCATGAATCATTCCCAAACTTTAGTAAGAACTTAACGATAATTCTGTATTCAGGACCAATAAAATTCACTATGTTAAAGTATCAAATAAAAAACTGTAATGGTAACCAACGCCTTAACTACCATAATATTCGATCATCTAGGAAGACTATCTACTCACACTTCTTGACATTTACTCCATGCCATATTTAAGACGCATCTCACTCTAGACAGTACTATAATTTAAATAAAAACCTATACGCATTGATTAAAATAAAAATTACGACTTAATAATTATTGTACGCGAATAGCTGCGACATATAATCACGGCCTATAGTTGTTTAATACAATTCAAAAATTATATAAAATCAGCAGAATACGAGTAGGGATGATTCAGAGCGTCATATAATTCCTTCTAGAAAGAAATAACTTCCGCAAGTTCCAGTTGGTTTCTTTTATATAAAATCCGTCCAAAACATTCCCCACTTCATAGCAGCTTTTGCAACTTTAACCAAATAAATTGCTGCATGTAGTAACTTCTAAAAGTTCTGGTTAACACTTTTTACACAAAATTTGTCCAAGTGAATTTCAAGTCCCGCCACTTAGCAGTTGCTTGGCAAATTTGCCCAGGCATATCGTCAGCCATCTCACGGTACTATCTCACTTTTAATGTCATTCACAAAATCCTAAACGAATTGGATTATGGAAACAAAAAGTTTTCAGCAAATTGAGTGCAACTACAATACAAGTTCCTTTCGATAGCATTACACGCCAAAGGATTAAAAATCTCGTCCCAGTACATAAATACTTTAGGATTTTATGACTGACGTAGAAAGTAAGATTCGACCATTCATGAGATGGCCAACGACATGGCTCTAGGTTGTAACTTTTTCAAACTCTTAGTTTCCTCAATGTTGTTTGAGTGGACTTAACTTGCTAGATGGCACCATTTACACAAACTTGGCAAATTCCTTGGCAAATTTGCTCAAACATATGGCTCTAAATACTGACGTTTGAAAACTCTTGGTTTCCTCAATGGTGTTTGGGTGGGTCTGGGTCGGACGGGCGGAAGCCCTGGCGTCGTCCCCGGGGTAGGCGGGCGGCGGGGTTTGCGGGGGCGGCGCGATGTGAATGGCGGGCGCGGGTGAAAGCGCGGAGACGCGTGGCGTGGCTCGTCGCTGTTGCCGTGTTGCAAGCGTCACCGCCGCCGCCGCCCCCGCCCCCGCGGCCGGCGCCGTTTCGCCACGCGGCCGAGGCGCTCGCTGCAGCGCACCGACTCCCATGGGCGCAGTGGCGTTCGCCTCGAAAGCCAATTTAACGCTTTTGGAACGTTTTAATTTTTTCGTGATACTCTGCTGTTATATCGACTTAAGTGGAGCTTTGGTAGGGCTCTGGTGGGGCTCTGGTGGGGCAACTTAGTATCGGCCCACGTCATGATGACTATCAGATGGCTATCAGTATCCTCATGTACGGGCCCACGTCATGATGACTTTCTGATGACTATCAGTATCCTCTTTATATTTAAAGACGTTGACATTTATCGTATCTTAATTTAAAACGTTATCAACAGTTTATCTGCAGCATCTTTAAATGAGAGAACGTGCTTAAGTAGTTGTTTTACTCATTTTTGTGAGTAATTATCAGCTTATTTTTATTACAATAATTAACAGCTTCAAATTTTGCATTAATAACATTGTTATTAGCTAATTAATAGTCGTGTACTAATTATGGCGCTTCATATGGCTGTCCATCTGTAATGCGACAATGACCACGTTATAGTAACACCTACTGATCAACACGTGCTATAATCAAATCATATTGTCGAATGTCTTTAATGAAGTATAATAATTTGTTTGAATTGTCAATTTCACACTACTCTCGACAGAGGATAGTTTCAACTAATTTTTGAAATATAAACTGGAATTAATCATCTCCTAGACTCAATAACGGCTGCACTTTCCATCACATTTCCAATCCGCAAATAGTCAATCAAAATGCGATTTATTGATTTAAATTGTGAGATGTGGAACGGCTACGCTCTAAATACTCTTTCATCAGAATTGCGGCCATTTTTCAACATTCCAATATTCTTCATAGTTTTTATTTCAAACCGTTTACGCAAGACCATCTGAGAGTCAGCCGTCGCGTGTTTCTGGAGAAATTTTAGAGACTCTAGCACCCTGCAATCGAGTTTCTCTGTTCGCTTCCTTTTTATGGGAACGTTTCTGAATGGCGCCAGTTCTCATCTTACCACCCAGATATTTATTAGCTTCGGGTCTCGCTCCACTTATGCCAGTCTTCTAGTTCTTCTTCATAAACTTACGTTCTGCGCCACTTCGTTTTATGTTCGTATCTCTTCGTCTTAATTTATTCCGTGATGTGAAGAAGCAATATTTGTAAGAAAACGCTGTATTTCTTGATCACAGACAATATAAGAATATCGGAATAAACCTATTTACTGGAATGAACACAAATGTGATTATATAAAAATAAATTAATAAAAAACAAATAGATTATCTCCAACAATTCAATTTCCAATACTTTGTATTAACATAGAGATGAAAAATCTCTCGATTATAACTGTTAAGTTGTAATACTTTTATTCAGTATAAGAAAGTTGATTGAAAGTTGACTTATCTTCGAATTGTAAAGTAAATCGACTCTTATTTACCGTTAGAAATGAAGAACCTTCAATTCTCTGTTGGGTGTGCACAGAAGGCTTACACTTTTACATCTGGCAGGTCCCTCCCTTTCGCATGACAATAGAAATTCCTAGAGATACCTGGTGATATTCTGCGAATCCTTCTGTCTGACCTTTAGGAGTTACAATTCGAGAGTTTTTCCTCTCGGAAAGTTAGTTCCAGTGGAAATTCACACTACGAGAAAATTATAACTGGATTTCAAATCAAAGAAAACGCTTTCTCGTGACTTTCATATCCATTCATGAAAAATAGTCCTCTTATTGTGAGGCGTTTTCTCTTAAAATGTTAGTTGTGATCATATTTTACTTAATTTTTGCACATAAGAGCTAAAATAAATTAAAACTTGTAGACTAATTTTTTTTTCATTTGAATTAAAACACCCTTCTCTTCTCTGATTGGAAAATAATATATCACAGATTTTCTTTCAGAATAAAAACCAACGCTGCTGGTTAGTAGAGATTATCACGGCCAACGTTAATGCATTGTCTTCTCTGTCAGAGGTATTCTGCCCTGAGAAAGGCCCTAGACGTGGTAGCGGAACGTAGTCGAAAAAATAATAAATTATAATAAATCGTATTCACAATTTCAGAAAATAAACAACAAATGACATAATTTTGTCGCCTACAGCTAATAACCTTAAGTCGTAAAGGTGAGGGCAGTGCGGCGGAGTCGCATCGAAACCGCAAGTAGTCAAAAATCACAAAAACAAGATACTAGGAAGGTGGATTCGGAAGAAATCCCATGTAACAAACAAATTCTCAGTGTATGTATTGAAATGTGATTAATCTTGGGACAATGAGTTTGGGGGTGATGTGGCGCCCTGGTTTTGACATTTGTCTACCTCGTACTAGCAAAATTACAGACTAGCGCACTACAAACGAACTTAAGTTCCGAGAATTCGGAGAGTTCAAAACGGTTAAAAATTATTACTTCCATTGAAATATGGTCCAGCTAAAATCACAAACATGATGAACCATAGGTTTTATAATATTTCATTAGTCCTGGCAGACTGACTGAGTAATAAATTTGGAGAGTTTTTAAAACTCTATAATCTGTACCTGGATGTACTTTTGAAAACCGTCCAAAGTTTGGGCTCAAAAAATTTTATAAAACGAAATGAATTGAAAGCCTTAGGGCAGTAACAAAACAGATCACACCACTATTCGTAAATGTTAACATCTCAATTTTGGTGAACGTGTGTCTTATATTACACACGTCTTATTCACATTTAGGAAGCACTTGGGGCAACAACAAGATGAGACACGCTTCGACCAAAATTGATACAATAACATTTGTGAATAACGGCATTCTCGGCTGATGTGGCTTACCTTTTACTTCCCCAAGGCCTTCAATTGAAATATGACCCAGCTACAATCACAAACGTGAAAATCTAATGGGTTTAAAAGCGTTTAAAAACGTTGATTACTTCTGACCGACTGACTGAAGTTATAATTTAAACCGAATTTAAACTGTACAATGTTTTACAGTTCTTTGACCACATGCAATTTTGAAAAAAAATACCAAGCAAGGACCGAAACGTCATGAAATGTAAAGCACTTTTTGAGAAACCCAATAGCGTGCGACCAAAACCCATTGAGAAACCCAATGCGAACCATTCTAACACTTGGGTCGGCATTGCCTTCGAAATGGCGGTGCGCGGGGCGGAGAGGGGCGTGGCGGGGGCGACGAGCGCGCAGGCGCACCACTCACCGAGGAGGGCGGCCACGGCGAGCAGCTGCAGCAGCGCGCTGGACTTCATGGCTGGAGAGCTGGTGGTGCACTGAGCGCCCCGACCTTGGCGCCCGCCTTATACGCCCCGCGCGGCCGCCGCTTTCCGACAGGAGACTGCGGGCGGAGGCGGAGGAGGAGGAGGCGGCGGAATAGGTGGAGGCGGATACAGCGGGCGGAGGCGGAGGACCAGGCGGCGGCGGCGGCGGCGGCGGAGGACGAGGCGCCAGTGCGGCGGCAGGCAGAGGAGGAGGCGGAGGCGGAGATGTGTGGTGGCGAAAGTGGAAGAGGCGTTGGAGGTGACGTGGTGAAGGAGCGATAGGCAGTGGACGAGGTGCGGAGGAGAGGACGCAATGCGTGCGGAGGCGGAAGCGGCGCCGACGCGGTGGAGGTGACGGCGAGGAGTAGAAGGTGAAGGCGGAGCGGGAGGGTGAATGGCGAGAAGGAGGCTGAGATGGGAGGCGAACGTGGCGGGCGAGGCGGCAAAGATGACGGCGGAGGAGAGGAGGAGGAGAAGAAGAGACGAGAGAAGATGTGACGTAGAACGAAAAAGAAGAAGGAGGAGGAGATTGATACAAATAAAACACGTCAGAAAATTTCTAAAGTTGATGAGACTTCGGACATTGCTACGAGTATAATTGTGTTAATTATGAGTCAATAGTGCACGCAAGTCATTTTGTATTACCATCTGACTATTTCTCATGTTTTCATATCCTGTCTCGTGTGATTATTCACATTTCGTTTGCTGTTATCTGCATACTTTTGTTGAACATCACTTCACCACGAAATCTCTTCTCACGAGAACAGATCAATGCATTCCACGACCAAATGAAACAATCCAAAATGACGTACAGTCTTTGGATACTAAAGTAGACATCCGACAATGATTAGATGCTGAGGTAGATGCAAAAAAATGGCGCGCTTACTTTCAATTATCTTCCAATCATTGGCATTCGCAATATAAAGCAAGAGGGGGCCAACATTTCTGGGCTCCCTTATCAATTACACTTTCTATTTCGATTAGACATTTTACTTGTACAATAATTTTCAGCGTTTTTTTAATGTATTATGGGAAAGTTGTAGGAGACAACGATTCCGATTTGACATTATGTTCGAAACAGTTTCGTACATTTTTTGACAATTTTAAGGATTTTAGGTGTGTTTGAAACTTGATTGACCATTTTTCTGGGATGGATTCGAAAGTTTCTTATTCATCCGTAATAATAGGATTTAATTCACACTGCACAAAATTCCACTGTGTTCATAGTTTGTGCGAAAGTTTAAACCTTTTTCACATTTTCATTCTACATTTCTAAATTTAATATAATTAAATAAAGTTTATAAAATTACACGTTAAAACGCCCCCAATTTATTAAGTTCGTTATTTCTTAGGGAACTGAAATTATCTAGTTGACACTACACTCGGGAATCACAAATATCCAGAAAACATTTCAACCAAGCCCGTTTCTAAAGTGATATTCAAATAATCACAAACATAAAATACATAAAAAATGTGCAACTAATATGCAATTTTTGGTGTATGGATTATTGGCGTATATTGGAATGTACGAGTATGTATTAAAATAAAAAAAGATATCAATAAAAAAATTTACTTATTGGAAAATAGTATGACAAAGAGGTAATGACCACAACACAATACAGTTGACGTTTATAAATAAATAAAAAGCTGAAATGTTTCAAATTTAAATGCCCTTTACGATAGGGCAATGATATTTACTCAAATAGTAGCCATATACGGATTTATTCCTGCGTCCGAATGCGTAATCTCCGTATGTTTTAAAACGCATGTTAACGTTTTAAGTACGTAATTTTAATAAGAGATTTAACAAATTTACGAAAATAAATACTTAATTACATGAGACTACGGGGCCCCATCTCAAACTCTCAGGGAGCACAGCTTCCTTCTCTCCTCTACGCATGCCTAGGTTTCAGTGTTTGTGTTCTTGTGTTTTCATATTTTTCTCGTATTTTTCATATCTCGTTTGCGTTCGTGAGCTGTTAAATATCACTCTAGAACATTATATCTCGACAGCTCACAATAACACAACATCGCTTTCCCTGAGCAATCGCAATCTAATGTGACGTATATTCTAAAAACAATGAAGTAGATATCTGTGAAAATCTTATGATGGAGCAGTGGGTACACATTCACTCGCTCTCTCTGACCTTCCCATCGCTTTTCTTCGTTCATTACCGCTTCCCGTGCTCTTAATAACCCTCAAACGGCTACGCGCATCTCGGTCCGTGTCGTGAAGATACCTGATACCAGACCATTGAAATGTAAAGATACATATAAACATTTACTGGAATGATGAAAGTCGGTCATTTTCAAGGTGTTCTCAAAATTGGCTTCAAATGTTTTCCGTAAATTTCTTTTAATAATTGAATGAAATTCCCGAAACAGAATTTTTCGGTGAAAATGACGTTAGTATAGTGCATTTTCATATTGTCGTTTGATTTTGAAACATTTTCTCAAAAACGTCCCAAATAATTTAATGAAAAAATGGGACCAGTTTTGTTTACTCTTCTGTAATATATTTAAAGTAATATATAAATTCTAGCAATAGGGATCCGAAAAATTGAGAAAATGTGAGAAAATTGATATTTGAGGCCAATAGATTGTAGCTGGGAAAAGTATGAGGATAACCGAAAAGCTAGCCCAAACTAAAGAGATAAGGAAACTAGAACGACGCGACTTGGGACCTCTACTATTAGAAAACCAAAAAATTAAGAAATTTTCAATAAATTATACTTATGTGGCAAGTTGTGGCAAGTTCGTATAGCTAGCCGAGGCCAAAGAAAATAGAAAACTAAAACAGGAAATTGTTTTGTAGTAACACTAGATTTTAATTATGTCTGAATGGAAGTAATCAAGTGTCACACATCTCGTGGATATTACCTTTTGAGCTCCAACTTGGAACACTCCTCGGAAGTAAAGTATGCTATTGCCGTTCCAAAGATCTTACGTTCCGTTCAGGTACGAGGAGTTTCACAGAGTTTTGTTGCCCAAAACTATGCAAAAGTCGTAAAAAATAACGTTAATCCCAACAAAGAAAATAGATTAAGCAAAATGTTGATCTATCTGGTTCCAGTTCTCTTCACAAACATTACTTTCATGCATCATACGTACGTAGAATAACAGTGGATAGAAATTATTGTGTTACTGCAGAAAAAAATTATGTTTTTTTGTGGACAATTTTTCAGCATTAAAAACTCAAATAATTTTACATGAAACCGCAAGTGTATTATCAAAATTTCTTCAAAAATGATTCCATTACTTTCCCTATACATACGTATATAGGAGAGTACAGGGAAATTGATGTATTGCTGCGGAAAATCGATTTCGAGATTTTCTCGGAAATATGTTTTGTACATACCGAAAAAAAGGGTTTTCAATACGTCCGTCTGTCTGTCCGACTGTCTGCCGACTGTCCGTCCGTGCGTCTGTCCGTTGATCTAACGGTCTCTGAAAACTATTAGCGCCTAAACCATACCTAGAATTTTTTCAAAATTGAAGAAAACTGTGTCGATCTGGCTCGAATAAAACATTTTAGAATTTGAAAAGAATATTTAAAATTTGGAGGATTCTTTTCATGAAGCCCCACGAATATTTTCAAAATTTTCTCAAAAACTGCTCCAAATGTTTTCTTTAAGTTTCTTGTAAAAATAAAGTAAAATACTCTTATAAAGTTGACATAGGTCCGATTTTCAGATTTAACTCTGAATTTTCTCCACAATTAGTTATTTCATAAACGCCGTGAACATTTTTTTTTAAATTTTAGTAGTTTTCGAGCAATATTGTTTGAAATGTGTGCAAATTTTAAAAAATCATAAAAACAAGATTTTCTCAAAAACGGATCCAAATTATTTCTTTTAACTTTTGGTACGTATAGTGCTGTATGTACACAATGACATGAGATAAAAGCCACATTGCTCTATTCTTTGTTTTTCTTTCTTCATAACTTACAAAAATGTATTTTTTTGACTTGTCTCTTACGTCGTAAATATTTATATTAGTTGCAATTTGTTCATATTATTATATTTATGAGTACATGTGACTTAAATAATGTCAAATAAAGTTTGTCGAAAATTCAAGTTTTCTGTGAAAACTAGCTCAAAATTCCGCATTAAAAAAATCTCAAACGTCATTTTCTCAAAAATTACTCCAAAATTTTCTTTAACATTTTCGAACGAATAGTGGTAATTGCACTCTTTAATATGACGTAAAGTTTATTTCGGGATATTTGTCTCTAAACTTACACAAGTGTAATTTTTTAAAGATCTCTCACGCCTTTAATATGCACATTTACAGCAATTTGTAAACACAATTGAATTTGTGACAAGAAGAGCTTAAAATGTCATCATATGAAATTTTTCGAAAACTCAAAGCTTTTCTGTGAAAAGAGGAATTTCGAATTTACTGTAGCTCTTAAATGCCATTTTCTTGAAATGGCTCCGAATTTTCAAAGAAAATTTCAATGTAAGACGAGATCTTTACTTTCTTTAATATTCTGAAAATAATATTTCTATTCTACTATATGGAAACCGAAAAATTAGGAAAATTTCAAAAAAAATACTTTGCATGGCTGTAGATGGCAGCTAGCAAGAGTATGTGGCAAGTCCGAGTAGGGAGCCGAGATAAAGGAAATAGAAAACTAATTCGGGAAAGTCTGTCCTATTCTGTTGCACCACTAGTTTCGTTAATTTTTTCTCAGATAGAGGAAAGCACAGTGACGCAGGCCGAATTTCATTGAATTCTTTGAATTTTTTACATTGGAAATGTTTGAAAGTTGTTCGACATCCTATAACTATAATACTTAAGATAATGATTTTTTAATGAAATCTGATCTTCAAAATTAGATCCATAAATAAAGTATTTTCCATGTTTTGAATGTGAATTCACGTAATGTGGCATGAAATAAAGACACTTTAAGCAGGTCCGAATGGCCGAGGTCGTTAAGGCAGTAGTGCCGTATTGATCTCGGACCGTAGCATCGCGGTATTCGAATGCCATCTTCAACACTGTTATATTTGTGTTCTTCCTTTCACCCCTATCATTATCATATGTCATCTTCACAGGTGCCATACCGTTAAATACAAAATTGATCGTTAATGACTTAGATGTTGATGCGACCTTGAATAACAAAAAAGACAATTTTCTCAAACACGGCTCCAATTTTTTCTCCATTTTGTCACATATAAAAATAACTCATTTACGTTTTTCGTCTCTGAATGATTTGAAATTTCTGAATGTTTAAACATTTTTGAAATTACAACTAATGCGATAAATATGTGCTGTTTCTAACATCTCTAATTTTCTAGCCTATTTTCATGGTTTTAAGTTAGTGATGTGTCTTCAGGTAAAGAACTATTGTCTATATTTATACGTAAATAACGCGTAGACAATATTTTCTGCGTAGACAGGGGTAATTTATGTAGACAACGGATATCTATATTTTTGTGGGTTAGGGGCGAATCATGTTTCACCCCAAAGCCAATTGTTTTTAATAATA